GGTTGCAACCTTAAACAATCAAATTAGAGCCTAACTTCAAAAATTTAAACAATCAATCAACCTTAAACAATCAACCTTTATATAAGGTTGCAACCTTAAAATGTAGAAATATATATGCACCTCAAAAATCCATCAAAGAAAGTTGTTTTCATATTGAAAAACTTTCTAATTGATCATCTCAACATTGAGATGTATGAATATGAGAAAAAAAAAAGATTTTGAGTCTAAAAAATAGTGCATCTTGCAACATGTTATCTAGACCGTACATTTTCAAGATTTTCATAGGTTTATAGATATACTTGATTTTTTAACCATTTTTGGAGTTTAAAATTTTATAATTGGATGTGAAAATAGATTTTAGATAAGGGAAACGTTTATCTAGAGTCGAGGCTCTAAACAATCAAATTAGAGCCTACTTCAAAATTTTAACTAGAAGAGGTTGTTTTGATGCCCAAATATCCTCAAATTGATCATCTCGACATAAAGATGCATGGACATGAGAAAAAAATGGATTTCAAGTTTTGAAAATAGTATATTTTGTAACGTATTTTTGGACTGTCAATTTTCAAGATTTTCATAGATTTGTCAATCTACACTATTTTTGGAGCTTTAGATTTTATAAATAAAAATGAACACAAAGATTTCCAGTATTGAAACCACATTTGTGACACTATTTGAAGGTAAGCTCTAATTTGATTGTTTAGAGCCTAGGCTCTATACAAACTGCACCCTTTATATAATCCTAAGAATTTTTACACCAAAATTTCATATTATGATAAAATTTAGAGGTGCGTCTGAATTGGATTGTTTAAGATTGTAACCTTATGGAAACCACACCATATATATAGTCTATTAGCTCATATGAACATTCGAGCCCAACGGCCCTGATTGAATCTGGGCCGATCTAATGGTCACAACTTTATTTTATGTTTTAATTTTCATTTTTTTGTTTAAGAAGCCAAATAACTTGAAATTTTAGGCGTGTATTATTCAAATATAGGAAAATTTAATAAAACTATCAAAATAATAATTTGCAATAAATAAATTGACCAAAATACCTTTGATTTTTTACGAATTATTTTTTAAATATTGTTATTAAGTACACTTTGATGAGAAAAATAGACACTTAAAATTTCAAATTATTTAGAATTATAAAAAAATTAAAATTAAGGTATGAAATGAGGTCGTGACCGTCATATCAGCTTAAATTTAATCTGAGCCGTTGAACTCATATGTTCATATGACCTAGTGGGCTAATCTCAATAAA